TTTTTTGAATGCTATTGTCATGAAACGAAAGAGTTCAATCGAACGACCTGAAGTTCATTGTCTCACATTGGATTGTTCTCATTCAGAAGCATATACAGATCATATGTTATTCTGCATGAAACGTTCATTCAACTATTTTCTTCTTGATATAGGCAGCTGTTCGTTCTCTTCAATTAGGAGTTGCTTGCGACGCTACCAGTTATGTCCTTTGATGATAACAATTAATTTTATCAAACAAATGCATCTTATCCGACAAGTTTGACTCATCATTAATCAATATAACGTGGATCAATTATTAGATTTTAAATGAGTGGAAAAAGTTGGCATATACATGTGTTATTTTAAGGACAATAACTTTGAATGTACTAGAGTGTATGAAACAAGACGAAGAATTAGCGAAAAAAGCAGTAGAAATTCATGATGCACTATATCTGAAAATTGAAAAGCGTAAAACTGAGGGTGTAGGTATTCGTTTTATCTAAATCCACACTAACACCCAAAACGAAAACGACTTGTCCATCAAAGAGTCTTCAGTTAATTAATTGAAAAAGTAAGATTTTATTCAGTCGTATGACATATTGAGAAAAAAAACATGTATTTTATTACTATGTAACCTTTAAGATAAATTTTAGACTAAATGCTAAATTTCGACGAAGAAAAAATATTCTCTGTAAAAAATAGATGTTGATTCTTTTTAAATCAAAAAACCATTTTATTCAAAGAAATAGAAAGTCAGGACTAAAATTATTTTAAATATTAGTTATTTAATAGAAGTCCACCAGTCAAAATTTGAATGGAACCATTCTGATTTAACTATTTTTGTACGACGATGATCTGTATCATGTAAACCCATGAATTCACATTTTTCACATAAATTAATTCCACAAGTACATTTATAACGAATATCAATAATCGGCTTCATAAAACATGAATTACATTGATTATTCTTATGATTGATTTTATTATGATTATTTAAGTAATCTGACTTTGGATATTCACTGGAATCTTTAATACATAATAATGGATGATTATATTGATGATTCGAATTATGATTTGTTCTACTAATAGATTTACATGATTGACAAAAATCAATATCGGGACAAAATAAACATTTGTAACGATCTCCTTTTATTGGTGACATATCACATCCATCACATGTCACATGTAAATGAATATTCGTATTCAAATTTTGATTATTCGTTACTGTATTGTTTGAAATTTGTTGAATATCATCATTGGAATTCACTTTGCATACATCGATCGTTTCTTGATTACTACTCAATCGTAATGTAACAATTTCTTTTTGCTGATTTGATTGTCCATAATATTTATAAATATGTACCATGATTGTCGTTGTACCAATTAGACTTTGTTGATGATTAGCAAAATATTTTGCTCGAACTATATATGTACCTTTGACTGCCTTTCGAACAAGATATTCTTCTGGTCCATACCCTTGTGTAAAATCACGACTTATCATACCACCAATAGCTGTATTTTTATGAGAATAATAACATTCTTCACCTATCGGTTCGATGACATGTAAATCAACATCTGTATCATTTGTATCCCAAACCATAACAATTCTTAAGTCAACAGGTAAATGACGAATAAGACGATTATCAATTGAATTCAATATTTGTTGTTGTTGATGAAATTGAAATATGAAACAATTCAATTCATGCAATGTTGTAACTTCAATTTCTGAATAACGTTTATCCCATTCACCAAATATAACTTTCTTATATAGATCTGATATTTCTATAAGGTTCTTTGTTTCAGAATTAGATTCTTGTAATGATAATGCTAGATCTCGAAATGACTGGCTCGTCCAATCTCAAATTTATAATATGTCGAAAAATATTTTCAGCTAAATTGTAAAGATCAAATTCAACAAGCTTATAAGCAACAGTTCGTAATAATTGTACTGATTCCAATTCTAATTCTAAAACATTTTAGAATATGATTGACGTTCATTTAAATAAATTTGATAAGCTGTTTGTAAACTAGTACTTGATTTATTTTGTTCATGTATGGTGTTGGTGGATCCCAGTTTTGAAGAGTAATCATTTGAGTATTACTACCCGTATTAGTACTAGCAAGTCTATCCTTGAATGAATGTCTTCTTGAATATGATGATCGATCGTGAAAGGAACGACTTTGCTAGTCGAGTTTTTTCCTCCTCCTGCTCATCATCATCACTAGCGTAATCGATATCCGTCTCAAATCTATCCCTGGACGAGGTTGATGCCATGTCTACTAGCCTGTTCTCCATCGTATCTTCGATGAACTCTAATGAATCATCGTTCATTGCATAGTCACGGTTGACCATAGTAGAAGGTCGTGATCGAGACCGACTTCGTGTCATTCTACAGTATTCCCTATTATGTTGGTTAGAGTATTTATTTTGGAATGCATTTCTACGATCTTTGTCTGTTATTATTTTATCATACCATCTGCAACGTTTTTGCCATAAATTCAAAACAGCTGTTAGTTTTGATTGACTTTTAGTTAATTCTTCTTGTTTTTTATTATTTTGATAAGTCATATAATCGTTATATAATTTTCTACGTGATTGATGTGTACATATCTTATGTTCGATATGTTGTTGTAATGTTTCTAGAACGAGTATTGATGTAAAATTACTTACAAGTGAATATTTCAAACCAATATCTAAAATACGCTTTTTATTTTGTTCTGGAAATGCACTTAATTCACTTAACATTTGTTTAGCATATAATCGTCGTAATAATCCATAATTTTCAGATGTTGAATCTACTTTATCGATCTTTAATTCTTTACGATGTATTTGATTTGAAATAATAAAAATAACAGCAATATTAGCTGAAGTCGATGATGACTTTTTGCCAACAAGTATAAATCGTTCTGTATTTGGTTTTAATGTAATTGAATGACTGGGATAAATATCATAAACATTAGCATTATTGATAATATTCATATTCAAATATCTTGTTTGTGATCTATCAATTCATTGAACAATATCACTAGCATTATCTAGAGTCATGATTGTCTCACATATTAGTTAGATAATTAATCTATAGAAAATTACTTTGTTTATGTACAGAATTAGCATTAAATATCCATGTTGGTTTTGGTGTCAAATTATTCAATAGGGTTGGTTCATCATTACCAATAGCCGAAAGACAATCACTAAATAAAAAATAATGTGTTGCATTTGGAATGGTAGTTGAAAGTGTAGCTAGTTGAAATAGATTTGTTGCATCATCATATAATAGATTAGTTAAAAACTGATCAAGTTGAGATCAATAGTCCTGTTCTTGTAAGTTAAATGAACGTGGTTCTTCAAGTTCATTTCGAAAAACAATAATAGTTAAGTTAATATTATTACCATTCAATTTCCAAGTATTTGTTTGTGATAATGATGGCACAGAGCATAAAGCAAAATAAGCTTGACTATGAGCATCAGGATCGATTTCTACACTATGAATAGGTTGTCTTGGTATTAGATTTTTTAGCATATATGTAATAGACTGTTCATCTTGTGATGATTTAACATTGACTTGGTGAGATTCGGAACAATATCTTCCATTTAAATTCACAAAATTTTGTTGAAATTTTACTTTGGAAAGAAATTGTGGTTGACAATCATTTGATGCATGTGTACAAATCAATGAAATAGAAAGTGATCATTTTTCATTTGTGCTTGATCTTGATAAATGATACGAACAATTGGTGTGCCTCCAACTGGCATTGGATAAACTCTTGTACGAAATACATTTCCTTTGATCATCTCAACTAAACCTGGATCAATACCTTTTCGAAATTCTTTTTCAACAGCAACACCATCGACAATAACACCATCAACATCAAGACCTATGAAAAATAAATATCAAAATTTTTATTTTTAGATTCGTAATTCTAAGAAAGAAAATTGACTTACCAAATCCACGTATAGTTGCTGTTTTAGGTAGAGTAAATTCTAAAGATCCTTCTAATATTCGATTATGTTCATTTTTAAATGTCATTGTTGTTGCTACTTGATGTATGAGTGGAAATTTTGCATTCACTTGTTGTTCGACTTGCAATTTAATCATTTTCAATGGTGTCGAAGCAGCATCACCAACTTTCGTTCGCTGACCAAAATACATCGGAAACGATGTACGATTATTGTTATAATTAGTATGTAAAGACATGTTGAAGACTAAACAATGTTGTTTTAGACAATTATAACAAATTCAATCTTAAACTAGAAAGAAAACGAAAAATATAGATGTTTCTTATGGAATACCACTGTCAATGGAAAGCAAAGTCTAAAATAGATACTATGCTTTCGATATTTAACCTAATGGTTATCGGAAAACGAATGAGATATTTGGATATGACTGTGGGTGATACCCCACACCTATACTCTAAGATATGAAATTCCGACCATTTCGAAATTTTTTTGTGTAATATGCACTAGCTGAAAAAATCGTCTATCAATGATGTCGATGACGATATATACATCTTACACTGTTTCCAAACTATAGTAGCTATACGTAGCTGACATTTGCTTTTTACAATTTGATCGATTTCTTATATCATAGGCTAAATTATTTTTTTATGACATTTTCATGATTAAAATTTTTCTTTTGCCTTCACCTAAGATTAATTCCTTTATTTTATACGTAACAAACATTAACTTTAAAAGGCTAAACGAGAATTCAACATCGATACTCTTGTCAAATACTCTTATCAAGCATATTCAACTAAATCATTGGTATCTTCCATGAACTACATGTCGATGCAATATAATCAATACGTAAAGAATGTCCCATACTAACTGACGATAAATTGTTAATGATATTTTTCATAGTTTTTCTTAACATTGAAGACTGAAATTTTTATCATATGGATATCTATTTCTGATCTTTAATTTCTCAAAGTTTTAGCCCTCTAGCCAGAACTAGAGTTGAAAATGCAGAAATAAGACTGAAGTGTATGATTTTTTTGTACTAGATTTCTGTAATATTTTTACTCTGTAGGTAATTGCGACTGAATGGCCGAGGATTGTTTGAGCTTTGCAAGAATGCATTCATTTCTAAAACCCTTTTAGAACTAATGACGAATTTTTTCTTTCATATCTACCACTTACGAAAACAGAAAAGATTGTAAATGGTTTGAATTGGGATGGACCATTTATTTTAACTTAAAATTAAGTTTAATGTTAATCATTAACCATTAATATTAAGTGTTAAGTTTCTCTGTTAAAAACTTAATTCATTAAAATTAATGATTAATGCTTTCATTAAACATTAATATTAAAATTAAGTTTTTTCATTGAACAATTACATGAAGCAAATGCTATTTTCTTTTGATTTTTTTCTTATCAAAGAAAAACTAGTTTAAGAAATACTAAGGATAGTTCGTATAATTATTCGAAGGTTTTCTGGAAATAGTCAATAGGAATCGCCGATGACAATCATTCACCATTATACCGTGATCGTTTCAACGGTCCGCACCGATAACTATACGTACGGTTACCGTACAAGCCAACTTTCACGCGAAGAAGAGGGTTTTTAAGAACACAATGATACTTTATAAAAGTTGACAAAAGCAAATCGGCATCGGAGAATCCGAATTTGCAATTAACTTTTCAGAATTCCTCATCAATTTTTTCCAAGAAAAATTGTTTACTACGAAAAAAAATAAGGCTGTCAGTGTGGGTGTGGATGTAGGATATGAGTGCTGAACAAAAACGAGACTGCCATCTACACTAACATTCACATCCACGTCCTCAACCGCACCCACACCCGCTCACACCCTCGTAAGTTTAGAAAAACTGTCGTAACTTTTGACCAGTAGGTCATAAGCTTGAATCTTTTCAACCTTTTCTAAGTCTGGTAGAGACCTATTCGTAGTTTTTCACGTAATTGAGTTTGCAGATGCGTTCCTAGACATGCCCTAGTATGGTTCTAACGTTAAAATGCAGAAAGTTTAATGAACTAGAAACCGACCGTATTCGCTTGCTTGCCTTCCTGCACTCAGCCAGAAAGAAGCTCGTCAAACTAAGCACTTTTTATCATTTAAAGGTTTCATAGTGTATGCTGATGTATATTCGGTATATTATAATCGTAAGCTTCGGAAACCTGATGATTCGTACATCTTCTTACCCGAGCATCATAAAACAAAACGTCATCCGCTGACTTACCTACCGTTCGGAGTGAGTCCATAATATTGCGCT